TTTATGAACTTTACAGCAATCAGATCCTTTTTTTTTTTTTTATAGCGGAGCAGCTTTTTGAATGTTTCATCTGGTGTTTGACAATTTATCAAGGTGGCTGAAGTTGGAAAGCCTCCAAATCAAATTAGGATATAGACACATCTGGGTTTAACACCATAGCCCCGATCTACTGAGATCCCAAACAGGGGGGGCTAGTGCTATTGTTTGTGAGTAAAGCAAAATGAAAATGCAATTTCAAAAAGAATTTGAAAATGCAAGTTGAAAACGAAAATGGAATAAAGAAAAACCTTTTGAAATGTGTGATTAGGAAATGTATTTTAAAATCCGATTGATGAATTTTGTTTTTTTTAAACTCCATTTAAAAATAGGACTTAGAAACACAATTAAAATTCCAGTATTTAATAATGGATGAATAAATTCAATTATAACCCCTCTATAATAATTCTATTTTCAAAAATGGCTATTTTTTTTAGTTACTCTCTCAGTCCTAGTGCTGTTGGTGATATTACTGAAATGCAAGCAGCAAGTCCAAAAGTGATGCAGACGGACAATTTAAGTAAAGATATTTCTTGTGATACTACCTATCAGCTCTGAGACTTTGGCAGAGCAAAGTGGATTTATTCTGCGAGTTATAAACACAGCCATAATTATGCAACAGCAAAGCACATAGATGGCAGGTAGGATCATTGTGTTGAGAAGATGCAGGAAGGTGAGAAGCAAAAGGACCAGATCTGAACACATAACATTAAAAAGTCATTCAGATGACTTGGAGACAGAAACATGGCAGAGTAGCTTCTTGCATCTGGATCATTCCAAAACTCACACCCTGTCAAAATCATTGTTATAGTCTCTGAAACCATAATCCCTTAGAGATGTAAATTAAATAATTTTTCTATGTTGATATTTCTACATATATCAGCACCACTGGAAAAAAGATGTATCCAACCTCTTTTTGCAAATGTTTTAATGTTAAACCTAAAATCAGAATAAATTGAGCAGATGTTCATCAATAATTATCTGTTTTATTTATTTATTTTTTAAACTAATATAACATTAGAGGCTGTTAGGAAGTTTTATTTAGCAGGTCTCAGGGTAACTGTGACTGCATTCAAATACATCAAGGTTAAACTGAAGTTTCACCACTAGATGACACCAAAGGTTTACATTAAATGGCCTTTTTAAATGACTTTTGTTGTATTTTTTGTTTCATTATACTCCACCTTTGTTTATGTTTCTGCATGGGATGTTTTAACCACAGATACTTATAAAAGTGATGATGTAAGAAAGCAGTTAGTTAATTATAATCTGCGTAGTAGGAATACCACTTGTTTGGTTTTGTCAGAAGGTGACAGCAGAAACAGAGAAGGGATTGGGGGGGTTGGTGCTAGGGGAGGAAGGAAATAGTAACCATGGATCTAAATATCTGAGAATCTGAGCTCTGACATCCAACCTAAACCCTACAATGGGATTCAACCCCCCATCTCCCCCCAATTTAAACTGATACCCGCTGATTCAGCTTCTGGAGCCCAGAGCTACTTTTTTTATTTGTTCTTTCTTTTTTCCACCCTAAGCTTTTGTTGAAATATTTCCACCTCTCCTTAAATCGCAGCAGGTGGTCAGAACTCGGCTCACTGTTGGAGGAACCGGTCCCACTGACATCAATGTGCTGGAACAAGCATTTGGCTGAAAGGACCTGGGTTATGGTAGCCGAGTGTGTCTGATTAATCTACCGCTCAGTGTCTCAGTGTGTGCTGGTGGACTGAGACGCTGGATCAGAAAAGAAATCGATGAACATCGAAAACACTGTAATTATTTTCTCCTTAAGGGAACACAGCTATTTCAGACTCCCCCACATCTTTGTTTAAAAATGACAACTTTTAAGGTAATTCCTTTGGTTTAATGCAACCAATCAACACAAAATAACTTTGTAATGAAGTAAAAGGAAAATAATTCTGGATTTTTAAAAATGTATTATTAAAATAAAAACTCCAGAAACGTTTGGTATGAATCTGTATTCAGTGAAAGCTCTGTAGAACCTCTACCAGCTGGGAACATCTACGGACTTTGATTCAAGTTTGGTCATGTTAGGTGGAGAATATCTGAAAACAGCTTTTAAAGTCTTGCCATGTATTCTTTCAT